CAACAATGACCTGCAGGATTCAGGAGTGAAGCTGCTCTCTACTGGACTGGGGGATTCACACTGTAAACTGGAGATACTGAGGTCAGTATTACTGGATATTCCGCACTGCAAGCTAGAAATACTGAGGTCACTATTACTGGGTATTCCAAACTGTAAACTGGAGATACTGAGGTCAGTATTACTGGGTATTCCACACTGCAAACTGGAGATACTGAGGTCACTATTACTGGGTATTCCACACTGTTAACTGAAGATACTGAGTTCATTATTGCTGGGTATTAACTAAGGAATAGCTTATTAGCTAAGGAAAAAGGAGGAGGTGGCCTGCTTTCTCTTAGAGACTAAACTGTATGTCTTGAAATGTTTATAGGAGCAGTCACATTTATTTAATCCCTGTAATGATGAGGTGATATTCATTGGGGAGTTTCTGTCTGTCTCTCTGCAGGCTGTCAGGCTGTAAAGTCACAGAAGAAGGCTGTTCTTCCCTGGCTTCAGCTTTGAGGTCAAAGCCCTCACTCCTGAGAGACCTGGACCTGAGCAACAATGACTTGCAGGATTCAGGAGTGAAGCTGCTCTCTACTGGACTTGGAGATTCACACTGTAAACTGGAGATACTGAGGTCAGTATTACTGGATATTCCGCACTGCAAGCTAGAGATACTGAGGTCACTATTACTGGGTATTCCCAACTGTAAACTGGAGATACTGAGGTCAGTATTACTGGGTATTCCACACTGCAAACTGGAAATACTGAGGTCACTATTACTGGGTATTCCACACTGTTAACTGAAGATACTGAGTTCATTATTGCTGGGTATTAACTAAGGAATAGCTCATTAGCTAAGGAAAGGGAGGAGGTGGCCTGCTTTCTCTTAGAGACTAAACTGTATGTCTTTAAATATTTATAGGAGCAGTCACATCTATTTAATCCCTGTAATGATGAGGTGATATTCATTTGGGAGTTTATGTCTGTCTCTCTGCAGGCTGTCAGGCTGTAGAGTCACAGAAGAAGGCTGTTCTTCCCTGGCTTCAGCTTTGAGGTCAAAGCCCTCACACCTGAGAGACCTGGACCTGAGCAACAATGACCTGCAGGATTCAGGAGTGAAGCTGCTCTCTACTGGACT